TGGCCCCTGGAGTCTGGTACTGTCCTGGTGCTGTCTGTCTCTCAAGCCCTTCCTTCCCAAATCCTCTGCTGGCCCATCCTTTGCTGGGGGGCCTTGCCCCAGCAGTCCAGCTTTTCCTTTTCTGTGCTTGTCCTGTAGGGTCCCATTCACTTCATTAGTTCCATTGGTCCTCTCTGGACAGACACCTTCCTGAGTCACATTTCATCGCTGACTTTCCTCCTGAGCTTCATCTGCATTTCCAATTTCCACTGCTGGAGGATATCTCAGCCTTAATGTTCTATCTTAAACTCTCAGTAACCAAAACCAACAGTGTTACCTCCAAACCAGTTCTGAGGCTGCTGTGTCCCCTACTCACAATGGTGCCTGTTGTCTTCCCAGTTCCAGGCTGGATGGTTTGGGAGTCATTTTTTATTCCTCAGGTAGGCATTTTTGATGCCAGCTCTGCAGTGGCTCCATCCCTTTCTTCCGCCCTTCCACTGATTTCATTTAGAACCCATATCATCTCTAAACCTGGTAACACAGCCAGCCTACTAAAGGCTGTCTCTTCCTCTAACCTCTGCTCATTATTTTGAACATTTTTCGCCACACTGTCTTAATTTGGCATCTTTCCATGCAGGACCCTTGAATATCTGTGAAGAAATGACTATTTTACATGGGGGCTTCTTGATGGCCGAGCAGCTGTTCCACCCCAGAGCGTTGGTAGAATTGACAAAGTCGGACTGGGAGCATGTTGGTCGGCCCATTGTGGAGGCCTTGAGGGAGATCTCTGCTACAGCAGGCTCCCAGCCCTTTGCCTGGAAGAAGAAAGCTCTGATCATCATCTGGGCCAGGGTTCTTCAGCCCTACCCTATCACTCCTTCTGACACTGAAACTCGGTGGCAGGAAGATGTGTTCTTCTCAGTAGGCAACATGATCCCTACCGTCAATCATACGGTCCTTTTTGAGTTGCTCAAGTCCCTGGAAGCTTCTGGACTTTTTATCGAGCTCCTGATGGTCCTGCCTACTGCCATCTGCTATGCAGAACTAGAGCACTTTTTGGAGCACATGACTGTTGACACTTCTTCAAAGGATGTGGCTTTTTTCCTCGACGTCTGGTGGGAAATGATGAAGCACAAGGAGAATCAGCAGGATCCCCTGCTCTCCCACTTTAGGACAGTGGCGCATAAGTACGTGTCCTCTTCAGATGAGTTCTCCCATCCTCCAAAAAGGTTTAAGTCTGACCCAGATGTGTGTCCTACCATGCCCCTGTTGGCCATGCTGCTCACTGGGCTGAAGCAAATCCAAAATAGAATCCTGTGTCCTGGGATGAAGTGCCGTGCATTAGCCAACTTGGCTGACATGCTGACGGTGTTTGCACTCATGGAGGACGACCCTCAGGAAGTGTGTGCAACTGTGTATCTAGACAAGCTGGCCACTGTGATCTCTGTGTGGAATTCAGACACCCAGAACCCATACCACCAACAGGCGCTGGCAGAGAAGGTCAAAGAGGCAGAACGGGACATCAGCTTGACCTCACTATCCAAGCTCCCCAGTGAGATGGTTTTCATGGGGTTTGAGTTCCTGCACAGCCTGCTGCGGGAATGGGGGGAGGAGCTGCAGGCCATGCTCAACAACAGTCAGGGGATGAGTTATGACAGCTACCGGCTGTGCGACAGTCTGACTTCCTTTAGCCAGAACTTGAAACTCTACCTGGACAACTCCAGTCTGTCCAAGGAAGAGAGGCAGGTGGTCTCCGAGCTGGCAGTGTGTGTCGCGGATTTCCCGATGAAAGTGAACAAGGTACTAAAGAACAAGGGCTCTGAAAAGGACATCGCTGCTTCCATTGCCATGACCATTATTGAACAGAAGATGGAACGGCACATGGAAATGTGCTACATTTTTGCTTCTGAGAAGAGATGGGCCTTCTCAGACGAGTGGCTAGCCTGCCTGGTTAATAATCGGACTCTCTTCCGAGAGCCAGACTTCGTTTTAAAGCTTCTGGAAACAGTGATGGAAGTCAGCACAACAGAGAGAGCCATCCCTGAATCTCAGATCAAACAAGTGACCAACTTGATCCTGGAATGTTATTCAGACCTCTCCTTGCCAGATAAAAATAAAGTCCTCTCAGGAGTCCTGCTTTCCTGGGGACGAAAGGGTCTCTCTGAGAAGCTGTTGGTTTACTTGGAGGGGTTTCAGGAAGACCTCAATACAACACTGAACCAGCTCACACAGAGTGCCTCTGAAGAGGGCTTGTTTAGAGCCATAGCCTCTATGGCCCGCTTGGTAATACTGCACCCAGAGATCACAGTGAAGAAAATGTGCAGCATGGCAGTGGTCAGCCTTGGCACCCACAAGTTCCTGGCTCAGATCCTCACTGCCTTCCCTGCCCTTAGGTTCACAGAAGAGCAGGGGCCAAATCCAGCCCCAACTTTCATGGTGTCCTGCCTCAAAGAAACCGTCTGGACAAAGTTCTCTACACCTAAGGAAGAAAAGCAGTTCTTGGAGTTCCTGAACTGCCTAATGAATCCTGTGAAGCCCCAAGGAATTCCAGCTGCTGCTCTTCTTGAGCCAGATGAGGTACTGAAGGAGTTCGTTCTGCCTTCCTTGATGCTGGACGTTGAAGAAGTGGACCTCAGTCTGAAGATCTTTATCCAGACTCTGGAAGCAAATGCGTGCTTAGAGGAGTACTGGCTCCAGACCTGTTCCCCATTCCCCCTCATTTTCAGCTTGTGCCGGCTCCTGGATTGTTTCAGTAAATACTGGCAGCTCCCCAGGGAGAAGAGGTGCCTCTCTTTGGATGGGAAGGATGTGGTGACACATATCCTGGAGCTCCTCTGTGAGACTGTATTGGCTAATGCCAAGACCTCCTCCCCAGACACCTGGATCAGGTCCCTGTCCTGGCTCCATCGGAAGCTGGAGCAGTTAGACTGGACTGTGAGTCTAAGACTGAAGAACTTCTTTGAGGGCCACTTTAAGTGTGAGGTGCCAGCCACACTTTTTGAGATCTGTAAGCTCCCTGAGGATGAGTGGACCTCGCAGGCTCACCCTGTGTATGGGCCAGGCACAGGGCTTCTTGCCTGGATGGAGTGCTGCTCCATCTCCAGCAGCATCTCTGAGCAGATGCTCTCCCTCTTGGTGGTGGATGTGGGCAACCCTGAGGAGGTCAGATTGTTCAGCAAGGGCTTTCTGGTGGCCCTGGTGCAGGTAATGCCTTGGTGCAGCCCCCAGGAGTGGCAATACCTTCATCAGTTGACTAGGAAACTGTTGGAGAAACAGCTTCTGCATGTCCCTTATAGCCTGGAATATATTCAGTTTGTTCCTTTGCTCAACCTGAAGCCCTTTGCCCGGGAGCTTCAGCTCTCTGTACTCTTCCTGAGAGCTTTCCAGTTTCTCTGCAGCCAGAGTTGTCGTAACTGGCTTCCAATGGAAGGCTGGAGCCATGTTGTCAAACTCCTCTGTAACAGTCTGACCAACCTCCTGGACTCAGTTAGGTTGATACAGTCAGTTGGCCATTTGGCCCAAGGACAAGAAGAGGACCTGACCCAAGAAACCCTATTTTTTTATACCCAAATATTCTGTCATGTTCTGCACATAATGGCCATGCTCCACCAAGAGGTGTGTGAACCACTCTATGTTTTGGCCTTAGAAATTCTGACCTGCTATGAGACCCTGAGCAAGACCAACTCCTCTGTTAGTTCCTTGCTCCAGAAGGTAAATGAGCAGCGCTTCTTAAAGTCAATTGCGGAGAACATTAGCCCCGAGGAGCGGCGCCAAACCCTGCTGCAGAAGATCAGTAGCTTTTGATCTTTGTGGATCAGAAAACAGCTGGTCCTCACAATTATGTGCAGTTGTACACAAGCTAAAAAGTATATGGCAATAATAGTATAAAGAAAATAGTTTCAGGTATTTGTAACATACAAGTTATAATAAAATTCTTTTTTGAGTTTCATCTTTAGAGTCTTTCTCATCAATAGTCTAGGCTTAGACGTGCTCTGAAATTGGGCTTAGCCAACGTCTTTAAGATCAAATCAAGCTGGGAGGAGTATGTTCATTATGACTTCTCCACCCTAAAATTTGGTAAATAAGCCCAAAGGTGAAACCACCCAAGTGGGCAAATTACAAGGTATGTGTGGTTTTTTGCACTGAAACCCTATTTAAGAATTATTTAGCAATATCTTGGAAGGAAAGGGCAGCAACTAGGGAAAAAACTCTTCTGCTGCCAATGAGCCATGTGATTTATGTGCCCAAAAGACCTGTGCCACTGTAAAGGAGAGGAAGGGACCAAGAAAATTATTGGGATAGATGAATGACCTCAAGAAAAACCGGTGTCTCCTGAATTGAGGATTTCTGCCATAGTCGTAACTATTTAGTGGATCCAGGAAAGTCTGTGCTAACACTACATCTGGTACACATAGCAGAGATGTTTTTAAAGAATGAGTATACTTATCTTCTGCCTGGGGTGGGTTATCATGGTTTTGAAGACGAGTGGAAGCAGGGAATGGTATGTGCAGAATCCTGAAGAGGTGAATCTAAGGTGCCCAGGGTTTATTACAGAACCCTGAAAACTGTTTGGTGAGTTAATTGGGGCTGCAAGGACAGGAAAAGGATATGCTCCATGACCTCCATAATATCCATATCCTCACTCAAAATGGGGCAGTATTCATGCACCCACCCAGCTCTATGGCCTGCAGTTGGGTCTCCACCCTCCCAATTCCTAATTGGTATTCACCTAGGAAGAAAAGAATGCACCTAAAGTTAATGACCTCTGGGCTTGAACTCTAGGACCCTGCAGTGTATCCTTGGGACCATGAATCACAGAAACATTAGAGTAAGGTATAAGCTAGGCCCTGCTGGAGGCTGAAAGCATTGAACACATCCCCCACTCACTCAACACCCCACCTTGGCCAGTTACATGGAGATGAGCACAGAGCAGACAGCAGCTCACAGCAGCCAGTCAAGTCAGGTTGGGCTTACAAGAGGACAGTACTGATGTATTTAACAGATGAGAGTAAGTCAGGAAATATTAGTGCAATTTAATCACCACAGGGGTGATTATATTATAAAGACACACTGATAGTAAACAAAACAGTAAAAAAATTAACAGCATTTTATGGTTTTTAAACGGCACCCATTAAAGACTGAAATAGTCAAATTTGAGACACATACTCAATACTTCATAAGTTCATGGACAATGAATTAAAAGGCACTTTTAAAAACTAGTTTTTCTCTACCATGTGAAAAAAATTCATGGTAGCACAGTTTCTAAAACCCAACTTAGTTGGTAAGAAACAATTAGTGTTGGCACCAGAGGATCATATTTGCAAGTGGTAGATAAAAGACTCAGTCCACAGGACATAGTTTGGCCAGGGCTGTCTTGCACGTTCGCTCTCCAGCCTTCTGTGGCTAAATGACAGTACACTCACATAGGAGCAGGCTTTGGAACACAAGCTCTGGCTTGTCAGGAGGCAGTCTAGATGAGACATTTTTACGGTGTGGAATACAGAAGTCCATTTCCACTTCACATGAAAAGGACAGTGTCAAACAGGGTTACTCAGTAAATAGCATGGTAGCCATTTTTTCACTTGGCCCTGTGGTTTTTAACGAGCATCCTGTGTGCGAGGGTATGGGGGCAGCTGGGCTTGAGGGGATATGCTTCAAAGGGAATAGCTTGTTTACAACCAGCTCACAAGTTTGACACTGGTCTTACCATGTCAGCCTGCAAAGGTGCTAGCCTACTGGCCTCCTTCCCTACTCAAGTGCTTCAGGTTCCCATCCCTGCCTCCTGCCACCCCCTGCGCCCATGAGACTTCTGATCGGAAGTCAGTAGACATGAGAATTCAATGTTGGCACATGGATGAAAGGATGAGGCAAAGGACCAATGGCTGATCTAGTAAACAACAAAACTACCAACACACAGCAATTCTCCTGGGCCACCGTCACAAGAAATCATTTCAAGAAACAAGTTATCATTTGCTTCTACTGGCCTAGTATGTGTGGATACTGCCCTGAGTGGCTGGAAAGATGGGGGCCCAGACACCATCTGGTCCACCTACCTCCACACCTCATACCTCTACCTCCCAGAGCCCTTCAGATAAGACCTCAGGAAGGACCCTTGGGCTTGCATTGAAACTACCTTTTTGCCAATGGAGGTCTGACAGGATCCAATAGTTGTTACTAAGAAAAAAGTGCTTCTGCAAAAGGGGTAGGTTAGAAGAGGGAGGTAATATGAATATTCTTTAGAAAAACTCAAACTCATCTATCTGCTTATCAATACCCAGTAGGCTGAAGCCACCCAGGGCACAATTTGGTCCACAGAATACTGAGTGGAGGAGGCACCCACACCGCCTGCCTCCTGGGAGCCCTTAACCATCCTTTTTGGCTCGGGGAGTGTCAAAGAGCCGGGCTGCCTTCTTGCACAGCAGAGAGAACCAGTAGATCTGGGGAGCGATGAGGAAGGCATTGGCCACATTGCAGTAGAAAGGGATATTGAATGGCACTCGGAGCAGGTGTAGTCCTTGCTGTCGGCCATAGGACCAGTACATGAAGGGGAAAAGAAGGATCCGACAGGCAAAGAAGGTGGTCAGCGTGAGGATTCCGTTCACCTTGTACAAAAGGGTGTGCTGCTGTCTTAGCTGCAAAAGAAGAGGGAGGGAGGATGCAGGGTCACCAAGGGTGGGCCTGCAGGGAATGCCCAGCCCAAGTCCCACATCAGTACAGGCCCAGCATCTAGTCTTCTGACACTTGTAGAAAAGATCACTGAGTACTGCTGTATTTATACATATAGGCTCATAGTTTTTCCAATAGAGATAAGCATGTGCAGCCAGGGAAAAAATATATTTAAAAACTATCAGATTTGAATCAGACATACAATTTCATCCCCACTGGCTTGGAAGACCAACTGACCTTTTAATCTATTCCAGGGTCTCCTAACCCACTACTACTAACACTAAGGGATTTCTCCAAAACCCTGCCATCTACCAAGGGAAGCAGAGTCCATTCCCTCTGCACCATTCCTGCTGTTCCGCTCATACATGCCTGAATCAGAACTCTGCCCAGTGACACAAATGGAGTGCTCAGTTCCGCCATGAAGATGCAGCCGACGAAAAAGTCCCCAAGGTCTTCTCTAAGCCTCTGCAAGGAAAAAGGGAAATAAGGAATGGAAGTCAAGGAACCACCGGAAGGAAAATTTTAACGAGGGCTATCCAAGAGAGTGACCTGAGAGACCGTGAAGGGAAAAGGAAATGCTAAGTGGGCCTGCACATAGACCCACTGGCACTTGCTGCTTCCATAGCAGTAGCACTGTGAGGGTCGAGTCCTTAGGATCCAGCGGCAACTTCAGATCGCCTGGCTGTATCACACACCAAACTTTCTCTGAATTTCAATGTCAGCTGGAAGGAAGTGCGGCCTCCTTTTGGGTATCTGAATTAGTCACGCCATGGGCACTCTGACAGTTCAACAAAGTATGTGCCAGGCCCTATGCTAGATAGTAGGGTCCCAAGGCAATCAAGAGAGCCTTCTTGAAGAATGCAATGCACTCTCCCTCTCCTTTTATCTTCCCAAGAAAGTAGTATAACAGAATAGCAGCTTTGACACTTAGCGCCACTATGAAATAAGTAAACTCTTAGAGCCCCAGTTTCTGCAGCTCTGGTATATGGCTAATAATTTATTAGTAGAAAGCTGTGAGCTTTTCAATCAAGCACCCGTTACCCAAAAGGCACTCAGGAATTACTAGTTTCTGCATTCCCATTCCTCTTCCTTGTTGGGTGGGTTTGAATAGGGAAATGGATCTGGGGAAATATTAGGAGGCTATGTGCTTGCTTTGTGACATCAAAAGAGCACAGAAAGTACTCCCTGGCACTATTAGAGAAACTTACCAGTTGACTGAGCTACTCTCATTTTTTAAAAGTGATTTTTGTGTTGTTTTGTTTTATATGTGTATTTTATCTTGTTTTTGTGTTGTATGAACTAAAGATAGAACCTTTGGTGGAGGCTAGGGAATCACAGAAGGCTGGGGGCTTGCTCAAAAGAATAATATGGGTAGGGAAGATCAGGAACCTTTCAGATTTAATTCTTTTCTACACAATATGCCTGGGTGGCAGGGGGTATAAGTGGAAGCAGCTGGCACACGGAGAGTGGGTACAGTAGGAAAGGGAAGGAAAAGAGAGGCAATCCTGACTACTACATAATGGTAAAGATACCCAGCTCAATAGGAGAAAATGAGTGACCTAGGCTGCTGCTGGATGTCCTGGGGCCATACCTGTGCAACTGGCACAAGGACAAACAGAATGACTGCGTGGTGTGTGATCATGAGGCGATTTTTTCTCAGGAAGTTTCGAAAAATGGTGAGGGAGTGTCTGTGGTTCTGGTCTTGGGTTCGGTACCATTCACAGAGGTACATGGCATAGGAGTCATAGATCATGTATGGAATCAAAAGCCAGACATATTCTCGGGCAAGCCAGTGCCTGAAAGAGAGCATACAAAAGGTCCATTAAATAATTATGGATACTAATTGTGACGACTCAAAGCCAACCTCGTCTGAAACACATTCTGCAGCTTTGTACTTAATCAGCTATTTTTACTCCAAATACTTTACAATGATGCTGCTGAAACTGACACATACGGAGAGTGAAAACCTCTAAATTACAGGGCAAATTCATAAGCATCAAAGGCCAAAAGCAGGAATTCACTGAGCACCACGTGTTTAAGTAACTAGCTGTCACTATTTGCCTAATCTAGCTACTCATTTGTAATGGATTTTTCTGGCATTTTGTGATACAAGCTTTGATACAGATATCTCTACAAATATTTCAACAGCTCCTCCAAGAAACTGGTTAGATGTCCAAATCCAATATTTCCTGTTTAACTTTGCTCAGTTGCTCAATGTTGGGAGTTTCCTCTCCCATCTGCTTAAAACCCCACTTTAAGGAGTTTCTGGGAAGCAATCGCTGGCCATTTTCTCTACAGTTCTGTGGCTAATCCCAATTCCACTGATTGAGAAACAGTATGTCTAGAAATGAGCCACTGACTACCTTCTGGTAGTCAGATCCCAAAAAAGAAGATAGGACAAAAGACAGTGTTCTCATTTACTTGCCCAAAGGGGTTAAATCAATACTTGCTAAGTCAAAGGGAGAGTTTATTAGACTGTCCCAGAGTAGATTAGAAGCAATCTCTCTAATTTCTACAGTTTTGTTCCCAAATGATAACTAATCATTTTACTGCAAATGTATGTGGGAAAAAATATCTAAACTGAAATCATGTACTGTGCTGGGAAGGATTAGATTCACTCAGCAAATTTTTACTGAGCACTCATGTGTTGGATGGAAGAGCGGACAGTTTAATTTTATGGTTCTCAAACTATCTGAACGTCAGAAGCACCTGCAATACTTGTTAAGGGCTCCGCTACCAAAGACTCTAAATGGTAGCCTAAGGCTCTCAAATACCTATTTTTCATTTTGTATCAGGTGATTTCCTACAGAGCCAATCTATGGAATTGCAACATTGTGAATATACTGTATAGAGGATGCCATTCAAATTTCTGTTCCTGACAAACTGGGAGTAGTCAGAGAGCTTGCTGCATGATCAGAACACTCAAAACAAAAACTGAACCCAGCCAAGCAAATGATGTTAGCCTTTGGTGTGTGCATATCAAGGTCACTTGACCTATCTTCTCTCAGCATCTACAATTCATCGCCAATAATTGGTTTTGTTTTTTAAAAAAAAAGGGCATAAGAAGGAAAGCATGAAAAGTATAATAGGATTAATCTCAAGTAAGATCCAGGGACTAAATTTGCAGGTCACGGTGAGACAGATGCCCCATTCGGGCTCTCCTTGCATCCCAGCCTCAACAGGTGAAAAGCAGGGCACTGCAGGGTGAACGTGAGAAAAGGACCAGCAAAGGCTGTTAGGTTTTCCCTGCCCATTTGACTACTGCTCTTCAGCTTAACTGGGATAAAGTAAGAATAGTTCCAGTAAGATAGGTGGGGGAAAAATGGCTTAAAAACCACCACTGCCCAGGACTAAATACTAAAAGTAGACCACCCTAGTCTTTATGATTTGTTTCACTAGAAACACATTTCCTGACCTACCTCTGGACTGTGCTCGAACACACATACAAGTCAGTCAGTTTTCAGAAAGCATTAGAAACCTTCTCATTGCCTTTAAGAAATCCAGAGGAAAGCCAAGAGCAGTATTTGTAAGGAAAGGGGAGGAAGAATTGTTCCTTTGCACTGAAGGGCTCTGCTAACCACACTGGTCATATCTTAGCCAATCGAATGCCTCAGAGCAGGACCCCAGTGAGAGCATTTAAAAGGACCAAAAGCCATACTCCCTCTTCTATTTTTCACACCTATATAAAGAACTGATCAGTGAACCACACTGTCCTCTTAACACACCACCTTAAATCAGACTTGGGCTCTGGCATTCTCTGGCATTCCAATTCGGTTTACTTTCTATTAAGCTGGTGATGCTACAAGAGGAGAGAAGGTGGTGAAAACTAATTATGGTGCCCACGTTTTCCTATTAATCAGCTAACAGCATGTGCTGATGGAGAACTAGTGCGGTGAGCCACTAAAAGGTGGAAGCTTCAAAAAACGGTTCGGCGCTGTTATTTGTGCTTCTTCCACCTGGTATTGGAGTTACCTGTCGGTGATCACGTCTTTACAGGAGCGGATGATGACGATCCCTGACCCGGTGGCCAACACAGCCTGCACTGAAGAAACCAGCCTGATGTGTGGCAGAAAAGACAAAAGGGGAGAGGGAGAGCGCGCTCAATCCGGTCCAGTGGACAGCAGAAAGCCCCAACTCTTCAACCTGACTCCCTCCTAGGCTGCCTGTGCGGAGAGGAAAATGGTAGGGCCGCCGCGGCGCTCCCGACCCCCAAAGCAGCTGGCAGATGTCGGCGGCAAACTTCCCTCCCATCCTGGCCGGCGTGGGCAGCCGTGCACCTCCTCCCTCGCCCTCAGCGGGAGGACGCACAGGGTCTTCGGGGAGCTCTGGCCAGCGCCACGGAAAGGGGCAAGGAACCAGGGAGCAGCCCCCTCGCTTCCTGTCGCCCCCCTCTTCCGCCCTCGGCTCCCCGCAGGGGCTGGCGCGGCCGGGTCGCCCGGGAGCCTGCGCGCCGCCGGGCGGGGCGGGCGGTCTCGCCCGTACCTGGTGCTGATCGTCACGCGGTCGGTGTCGGTCCATTCGGGCCGCGCACGGCGCAGCCCCCAGGTGCAGAGCGCGAAGAGCCCAGGGAAGAATAGTGAGCCCCAGGCCAGCGTCAGCAGCATGGGTGCTCAGCGGTCGGCCGCCTCGCTCGGCGCCCTCGGCTTGGCTCAGGTCGGCTCTGCGCGGCTCCGAGACTGGCCGCGGGCCGCCCGCCCGCCCCTATTTCTACCCTCCACCCTCCACCCCCTCCCCGGCCCCGTCTCCGTCCCGCCGCGACTCCGGCAGCCGCCGGGCGCTGGCCCCAAGCCCGCAGCCCCTCTCCGCGTGACCAAGCCAGCGGCCGCGATAGGCGCGGGCCGGCCACGCGGGGCGGGGTCTCGTTGCCACAGTCCCAGGGCCGCGAGGCTTCCCCGGTTCCCCGGCCGGCGCGCGAGTGGGCGGCGGCGGCGAACTGTGGTGCGCGGACCCTGCGCCCCGACCAGCTGCGCGCCAGCAGCCGCCGGGCCGGGCAGTGGTGGGAAGGGCCAAGGCTCCCGCGGCCTCTGTTCCGTCACCGCGGACGCTACCCCGCCCCTCCGCTCGGCACCGGCCCTGCAAAAGAAATGCCCCGCACCTGCCACAGCCCTCCTCTCCTCCCCAGCCCCGGGCGAAGGAGCCGGGCCCCCGAGAGAGCCAGGTAGGAGAAGGCACTCGGCCGAGAGCCCCCCCCACCAGGCCAGGGGCATTGCCCGGTGCGAACGGTGTGGAAGGCATCTCTGGGGGAAGGAAGGAGACGGCCCGTGGGCTTGGCGCCATCTGCCCGCCTGGCTTACCGACCGACCTAGCAGTTTTGCTTCTACAGAGAGTCCGGGAAATGGTTTCTGCGGGCCAGAGATGGCTTTTCCACACGCTCTGCCAACTGCTGTAATTTCTCCGGAGGGGGGGTCGCTCCGAGTATTACTAAATGCTGCTGCAGAATCCAGCAGTTCTCCTCAATCTACATATCCAGGTAGATTTGCTGCCGTACTGCAGTTCTGCCTCTTGCCTTTGGGTCAAGACACCGTTCAGTCTTGGTGAGCGTTTTGTTGTTGATGACTGCGAGTTCTTATTTGAAAGTTCTCTGGCCAAGTGCCCTAAACTTGAATGGATCAGAATTGATTGATATTCCCTCAGTACCCATTAGTAGAGTACCTTCAATATTCCTGGCTTCTTTAGGACTTAGCAGAGTTACACTTTGCTTTTTGTTATGTTTCTTCCTCAGCTGACAAATGTGTCGGAAAATACAATTCATTTATGCCTACTGCAATTGAAAGGTACTATGGGTCTCTTCTAATCACCATCATGCAAACTGCTGACAAAAGTCCCATTAGAGGACTCTGGGACAGCTGGGCTCAGCTTCTCTGGGCCACTGTTCCCTCATTTGTGAAAGGAAGAGGCTAAATTACGTTTTTAAGGTTATTCCAGCTTTAAATTTTCATGATTCTATAACTTTTGTAAGGTAACAGATGGTTTGTTAGATAACAATTAAGTTTTTCTGACATGGCAGTTACTGGTATAGAAACAGATACCTAGTAAACACAGCTTTTAACATCTTCCTGTATGTTGTTGTTAAGATGAGGGATTTAGCCAACATTAAGGAAACAGAAAACCCAAAGAAAAGCCTGAAATTTCTTCCACTAAAGGCAGTTTCTCTAACTTCCAAATTCACTGCCTACACTTGGTGAAATGAAAAAAGACACTTTAATTTGGTAGCAAGGTATCTGGCAAGTTACAAAGGTTTCTGTATTTTCACATTTGCACGTGGTCAAAGGACAGCTATCTGTAAACTTTCCATTCTCTCCAGGAGAACCCTGTGCATCCCATTTTCTATTCCCTATGCATTTATCCCAGTCACCTCCAGTTCCACCTTTTCCAGAGAGGGACAAGCGGTTACAAGTCCTCCTGCCTTCTCTCCTTAAAAGGATCAGCAACATGCACCAAGGGTGCTAACCCTTTTAAATGGTGGGAACTAATCTCTTCCCTATGGAAGAAGTTGCTGGTACAGTTCTTAAGGAGTCTATGAAATGAAAACAAAACAACAGATGTTTCACTTATATAAAATAACAAGTAAAATCAGTCTCCAACACCATCCTCTTAAAGTCACCAGAATGTTAAGGTTGAATCACCAGAAAGTCAACAAGCATAAACACGAGGCCTTAACTTTTCAACCGTTTGGGCAAATGACAAAGCCAGATGAAAAGCACCAAGCCTTTTTTCTACACAAACTTCTACTCACCCTTCAAAAGTCCTGAGTCAAATGTTTATTCCTCCAGAAAGGCTTCTATCTACCTGTCTCTTCCAGGCAGATTTGTAAGTCTCATTTCCTAAACCGCCTTTGCTATTCAGCAGCATGTTGTTTTTTATTTGTATGTGTGTTTCCCCACCAAACTGTTAGCTTTTTGAAACAGAGCCATGTATTTTCATTGTTCCCTAAATTAGGCCTGACACATTGCAACTGATCAAGAAATGTATGAGACTTTTTAAAGCTAATGTTTACTGAGTACTTATATATGTGCCAGGCACTCTTTCAGACATTTTGCATGTATTATCTCACTGGATCTTCATGAAAAATCGGTTATCCACACTGTGTGTGTATAAAATGAGACCAAGAGCAAATAAAAGATTGCCCAAGGTCACGTTGCTGGTGGCAGAGTTGGGATCTGAACACAGTATTTCTGCCTTCAAGGTCAGTGTATTTAATGACTTTACTAATAACTTCAAACTAAGCAAGGAGAAAGTAGTTATTTTTCAAAATATAGTTTCTGATTAATAACCACTGTTCCTAATTGTTTACTCACAAATATAAATGTGTAGCATGGGGTTTATGGGCTCTGATGCTGCTATTATTAATACCATTTTATATTTATATGGTATTAATATAAATACATTTTTAGACCTACAGCACTGGGGTTAAGATTAAAGGACTAGCACTTTCCATATGGCTTCTTTAGGACTTAGCAGAGTTACACTTTGCTTTTTGTTTTGTATCTTCCTCAGCTGACAAATGTGTCGGAAAATACAATTCATTTATGCCTACTGCAATCGAAAGGTACTATAGGTCTCTTCTAATCACCATCAAGCAAACTGCTGACAAAAGTCCCATTAGAGGAAAAACATATTTAGACATACAGCACTGGGGTTAGGATTAAAGGACCTGGGTTCCAATTCTGGCTCTGCTACACATAAGCTGTATGGCATGTGGAAAGTACTTCACTTCTCTGTAAAACTCGGGTCCCTCTACCTACCTCATGGGGTCGTTGTAAGAATTAGATATATTTAAAAATACATGTAAACTATGTGCTGGGCACAGGCACAGAACTGTTCCAGACGAAGATCCATTGGAAGAGGCGAGATAGATACAGTTATGGGGAATAAAAAGGTTAATTTTATAATTTTTCAAAGCACTTTCACATATATTATCTCACTTGGTTCTCAAAATAACCCTGTGATGTAGGTGAACATAATATTTTTGTTTTATAGATGAAGACACTTAGATGCAGAAATGGTAAACTGACTTGCCACTCTATGAAGTGTCCAGACTCAAGTCAGAACTCAAGGTTCCTGATTCATCTTCCAGGAATGCTTAATGCTATAGGCTTGGGATTTAAGGAGTTTTTAATTATGCTTCTTCTTGGGTTTCAAGAGTGGCATCTGGTTTACTAGATGTCAAAGTAAGACTCATTTACCAATCAGAGAGTCACCCTTTAAATGGGAATTTATAAAGCTCCCAGTTTTGGAGGGCTGTGCTGGGATTCTTCTGTGGTTTCTTCTGCCACCAGGGTATATGACCCTGCTTTTTCATCCCCATCTGTCCCATTACTTTAAGCCCTAATCTGGATACCATTAGGGGACATGGTGCAGGACTCTCCCCATTCTGCTCCCTGGTTTCTCCAGCCTTAAACTGAAAATACCTTATTTAGTTGTAAAACACTTGAGAATACTTGGGTAAATGTTAAGATATGTGATGTGCAGGCTGCTACCCTGGATCAAGGACATTTTCTTCCTATCCAGGAAAGGAAGGAAAAAAATGTATCTATAGGAAAACAATGAAGGTTCACACATGAAACATCTTCATGTGGAGTTCTAGAGCTGAAAGAGCAATTGGAGGTCTCTATCTGTTCATCTGCTTAAAATATCACAGCAAAGAAAATGAAACTTTATTCTGAAATAAGTTATTTATTCTGAAATAAGTCTATTAATATAAAAATAAGTAATTAATATAAGAAATACTTTATTCTGAAATAAGTTATTAGTACTGCACTTCATTTCTGCAGAGGGGACACTTGAAGCAGAGACAGAGCAAACAAAAAAGTTTGTGGAAACTTTTATTTCCACAAAGGGGGAAATAAAGTGATGGAAAGAGGCATAGAGAGAAATATACAGCATAGGACGAAGATCCATTGGAAGAGGCGAGATAGATACAGTTACGGGGAATAAAAAGGTCAAGATACACCCTTAGACACAGGAAAATAGAGAAACAGATCCAGAGATTGGAATTCACAAGTGAACAAGAGGAAAAGGGTTGTAAAACATGGAGAAAGGTAAAATGAGGCATACGAACATAAAGAAAGTGCTAGCCTTTTATGGAACATCATCCCCTTTAGGCTAGCACCAACAAAAGGCATATTGTATTTGGTGATACATGGCACAACTAAAGAGGCAGCCTGCTCTTAGGACGGAGAATATGGCTGGGAGGAAGTTAACTGCCCCCCTCTTTTTTCTCCTGCACTTTGCACTCTAAGGACACTTGGCCAACATGGTCTTGCACTGCTACCCATATATGTGTTTCCCCTTTTTTCTGCATGCCTCTGATGGACAGGCAGGGCCTGTGGGTCAGGGAGGCAGCCATGACCTACAGCACTGGGGTTAGGATTAAAGGACCTGGGTTCCAGTTCTGGCTCTGCTACACATAAGCTGTATGGCATGTGGAAAGTACTTCACTTCTCTGTAAAACTGGGGTCCCTCTACCTACCTCATGGGGTTGTTGTAAGAATTAGATATATTTAAAAATACATGTAAACTATGTGCTGGGCACAGGCACAGAACTGTTTATCTTGGTATCTCTGTAGCCCAGTTCCTTGCCGTTAAACTTCTTACAAACATCTATTGGATTGAAGATGACCCAGGCCTGGCCTTCACCAGCTTCCAGACTGCAGCTTCCTCAGTTTTACTCTGAACTACCTGCAAAAGCACACTGTGACCTAAGAAGTACAGTCACATCCCAAGTACCTGGCTCCTACAGTGGCCACAGCCGCACACCCTGGGGAAGTCCTTGCTCTTGTACACAGTGATAATGATAAGAAGCACAATTTACACAAAGAAGTGATTATAAAGTACTTGCCTTCGTGTATTGTTTTATATTTTGCAAAGCACTTTCACATACACATCTCTTTTGCTATCTGCAAAAATTAGCTTG